CATTGTGCCAATATACATTTAACAAAACTGATAACTGTGCAGTTTTTAAATGTGAATAACTTTTTTATTACTTGACATTTTTTACCCAAATTTTGGAATTCATCGTTTGAATGGTTTATTTTTACAATGCTATATTCAGAAATAACGGTTATTTTTGTTGTGTTCATCCGTGACATGACATAAACAACAAAGTGCACTTGAGGATGACAGGTTGGCGCTAAATGAAGTTATTATTGACCATCAAGGATTCTATTAAAATAAAGACATCCAAAAAACATAAATTTATTGCAAAACTTTTGCAATTGAAAGAAAAATGGCCGTCTAGAAGTTTAACGCAAGGGAATTTGCATTTAGGGCGCCCATTTTGAAAATAAATTTGCATAATATTTTCTCAAATAAACATATTGACTAAGATTTACTTTAAAACTAAAAACAAACTTTCTTGGTACTTTCATATTAATGAAAATATCGTGTTTGCATTGCTTTTAGTAACTGGGTACAACGCGTTACGGAGATCGACATAAACCATTGCTTTACTGAAATTCAATAAAGCAAATATTAAAATCACAGTGACATAATGCCCTGGAATTCATTTTAGTATTATACCCTATCGATGATCCTATGTTTTATGTTTGTATTTTAGTGAAATCAAGAGATTTAGACCTTTTTGCACCCATTATAAATACGCATTTTTCAGAAATATGCAATTCGGTTTTCTCGCAATCTTGCACACATCGCTATTTCTTAGTAAATACGAATTGCCCTGACATAAAAATCGATACCCATCATTGCACATATCTGTACTATATTTGATTAAAATTTCAGAGACCTATGTTTATTAGTATCTGAAAAAAATTGATTTTATACGTGCACAGTTATAAGATTTGTTAAGTGTATATATTGTATGACAATGACTATTCGTAATTATGCCAGAATTTGTATTGTATAATGATTGGAATCTGTAAATATGCAAACATTTGAAGTTCTAATTGTTCCAGATTTTGTATTGTACAATTATTTGTATTTGTATTTCAGAATTTGTAGTGTACAAGCATTTGAATGTGTAATGGTGCCAGAATTTGTACTGTAGAAGTATTTGAAAGTGTAATTGTGCCATTATTTAATATATTGTACGTAGCAATAATTTGAAATCTATGTTGTATAAGTATTTGAAATTGTAATGTGCCACAATTTATCATTGTGCCAGAATGTGACCTTGTATTGTACCAAAAAGTAGAATTGGTTTGTTTTCCACATTTGAATTATACTAGAATTTGTGTTTGTAACTGTGCAATAATTTGTTAAATTTTTGCTTGAAACATGTCATAACAATTATGTAAATATAAGTTTGAAAAATAACACACTCATTATTTCCTTACTATACAAGACATTATACACATTACTTAGTAATACCGTCAGCCAAGATCTCATATTAAATCTACAAATCTTTTTCTTGCAAGCACTGATTATCAAGGCTTTTTTTGTTTTTGCTAATTACAGGTATTCCAATATGTCAATTTATACCTACATAAAAAGGCTGTAAAAGCATTAAGTGATTAACCTGATCTTTAAAGCTTCATTGGCGACGATATAAAATTCAAAGCTTAAAAAATCAAGATAAAGAATTCAGGGGATCGATCTAATAAAGGTTCGATACTTTTTAAGCGGGATGAAATGGTACGATACGGAATAATGATGAGGGAAAGTTAAAAACAACGTAAGATCTAGAACCGCTTTTTCAATTACATGTCTAATATTGCAATTTTTGCTCGAACAATATAGTGGATGCAGAGCAAAAGATGTATTTGTATATAATGGAGAAAACTGTAAAACAATAATATATTTCATAGTACTGAGAAAGTTATTGAGGTGGTTCCTTACGATGAGCTTTCATCCGACTGACACGTATGACACAAACGCAGTTTAACGAAACACTTGACATTTGTTACAAGCGTAACACTAAGAAACAGCCATGTAACACTTGTAAAAATCAGTTTTGTGCCCTGTCTCATCTCATTTCAAAACATATATATGTTCTCTATTCATTGAAAATTAGTTGCTGGTATAGTGTAAAGTAGTTTCGTTAAATTATCAATTAACTATATCATACTTTAATGTGTATGGCCATAGAATGTGGTGTGTGCGTGTGCGCTGGTGTGTGTGTATGTGTGTGGGTGCGCGTACGTGTGTGGTGTGTGTGTGTGCGCGCACGTGCGTGCGTGTGTGCGTGCGTGTTTGTGTGCTGAAGATTGTGGAATGTGTGCCACATGCCCTATTTAATTGATCCGTTGGACAGACACATGGCAGTGCACATAGGTTATCTATATGTTTGCCAAAATTGTAGAAAATATTGTCTGAGTGTTGTCTTTAGCCTGTATGTATGTCACAAATATAGTATGATATTTAGCAGCAAAGGGCATTGGCACAAACACTTTCCATTCGTTAGCCAAATATTTAGACAGAAAACCTTACGTCAAGATGTTATAATTATTTTATAAGAAATTTTATAAAAAAATAAACGCCAACAAGAGAATTTACATTTACTATTCAACAATTGTAAATAATTACTATATACACATATCCGAGGGCTGTCCGGAAAGTTCGTAGACAAGGCTTTAACATCATTATAAGCAGCCATATTAATATGATGGTTGAATATTTTGCTAAAGTATTTATATGCTACATATTTCTAAATAAAAAAATCATAATAAAAGAAATATTCGCAAAGCGCCGATCACCATGGCAACATGACCAACGAATCACGGAGCACTTGGATTTCATGACGAGAGCTACTCGAACAAAACGTTGCTTAAAGATGTAATTTTAGCGCAAACTCTCGTTTTAATTTTGTGACATCATAGGATACTATTACTTGATATTTACTGAAAATTATGACGTCATGCATAATGATAAATAAACAGCTTGTTAACGACGATTAAAGGCAATGAATGTGCAAAAATTTTGTGTGGCAAAAATGACGTCAAGTTCACGGACGGAGCAACGTTATGATATTTAACTTCATAGCAACGCTAAAACAGCGCCAACTGAGATTGTAATCTTTACTTTAAAAACAAAATCAACCATAAAATGTTAAAGGCAACTTGTGTTTAAATATCAAACAAGATAAAGGAGCGTTGATGACAGGATATTATATAAGAAAAGCTCCAAACTTTCAAAAGTAGCATCGCCGAAATATCGTAGATTGCGTTACAACAATCTTTGAAAAAGGCAGACATCTCACAAACTGTATGGGAACTAGTGACATCCTTGTTTTTAAATAATAATTTTATATATGAAATTCATGAAAAAATAGCAAAGGAATATTAAATGTATTAAGTATACGTCAGACAGGTACCATAGTTATTGAAATCAGAAGACATTGAATAGTTGGTAAACATGAAGGTAATTTGACGCCGTTGACGTTGTCAAAGTGCTCCATGGCGATGTATACATGTATATTGTATGTTATAATATAGTTTTATTCAACTTGTGCAATAAATTCAGTATTGAACTTACACAAATTTTATATTTTATTTATCACATACGGTTTTTACGTTGGTTTTGCATCTACGTAAAAGCTTTGTTTAATTCAGGTGGTCGAGTTATAAACTCCGTATCAAACTAGGTAGGCATATGGGGATACTCAGAGATGAGCAGGAGATGAAAGTGGTATAATATGAATTTAATGCTAAAATGTCTACAAATAACATACACGAATTGTTAAATATATGTTGGTTGATTCTCACAATAGTAAAATGAATTAAGCGTTTTTGTCCAATGCAAAATAAAAAAAAATGTATTTATTAAAGTTGTTATTGTTATTATTAAGGTGTATGCTTTTAACTAAATAACTACACATGTTGTTATCTAAATATCAACACATTTTAAATAGAAAACACAGGGTAATTTGAACTTTTCTTTTGAAAAAGCTATACATGTTATTTACGAATCATACAAGTTGCTTATAAGATTTTAAAAAAAATTTTCTTCATTAAAAAGTACAACACCAATTAAAAGTTAGGTGTAAAAGCAAATCTGTGTGAAGCAAGGGGCAAGACGTGAAGTGGTCGCACACTTGGTTCAAGCGAGAAATTAAGTTGCAACTTGACAAAATGGCTACCGAGTCATCAATAACAACACTCGTGCGTATTTTCTCCAGGTAAGTTGATTTGTATGTAAATTTGGATGTTTTTGATATGCCCATTCCTTAGAGCAATGTTTATGGCCAACTCGGTTTGAGGTCTCAGCCTTCCTTTGTTTTGATGAAGTTATTAAACTGGTCCTAAAGATATCTTGAGCTTTTACAAGTGACAATCCAGGGCGGTTTTTATGCTCATTTAGGTTTTAAAGCTACCAAACAAGACAACATAAATACGAGTATGTGTCAATATTGTGTAAATGTTTCAATTTGTATGCTCCAAACAAAGCTTCAATACATAGAAGTCAATGATCGTATGATATATCATGAACATAATCTACTGATTGTACCAGAAAATATTGTTAGACTGATCATTTTGAATGTAACTTATAACTATATAATGTTTTATTTTGAGGAAGTTTACAAATCTCAATTATCCAGGAATTTAACTAGAAAGTTTGTTTCCGATACTTTTATAATATTATTTTATAATTTGGACGCGTATACGTCTCAGAAAGATTCTTTATTTTATTACATCATTTTACAATAGCTAATGAGATAACCTAATTTCAGTTTGTATTTTTTAAAATAACCTATGAAAATCCTACTTATATTCAATTATTCCATGCAATTTCTATAGGAAGTCAAACTGTTCTTAGACGGACATCGAACAAAACGTTTCTCAGCAAAATAAAAAACCTTTCTAGTGATTATTTATAATTTAAATTCAAGTTTTAAATGAATTAATGTTAATCTTTAGGACAAAGTATGGCTTTTATTGACAAATGGTTGTCATATATACATCTTTCTATTCTAAATACGGTAGAAAACAAATATTTTGGACAAAATAAGGGTAAATCTTTGTTTTTATATTATATTGAGGTTGATCAACACAATGTATTAATAGTTAGAAGTTACATTATTATAAAAAGACGTATCCTCAAGTTATATCTAAACATATAGTAGATAATTCAATTCTTAATTTGTATAATTTACACAATTCGGTTTTAAAGAAAAACACAAAACATATTTAAACGACTCCTTTATCAGTTTTAGAAAATTCTTTGACGTTTTGATTCTGTTGATATTCTGTTTTTTCTTTTCATCTTTTTTCTCTTCACAAATATACTTTACAGGAGTAAGACAGTTTAGGTCATTCCATTTATAATCCCACTTTGCATAAATATGTGTGCAGTCTTCCTTATTCCCGCCATTATCAGGTTGCGATGGGCTCCAGTCTGAAAATGATATCCTTGAGTTGTCGTCAACCCACTTAAAGTCACCCTCTCTGTCAGCATCTGTGAGTCCAATCCAAAAGCTAATACCTATGGATGACATTCATGTAGATACACAAATAAATACCTTCTCGATTAAGATACACAAATTACTACGAATTCAATTAAGATACACAAATGAATATCTTCTCGATTAAGATACACAAATGAATACCTTCTCGATTAAGATACACAAATGAATACCTTCTCGATTAAGATACACAAATTACTCCGTATAAAATTAATATACACAAATTACTACGTATACAATTAAAATACACAAATTACTACGAATTCAATTACGATACAAAAATTACTTTGGTTGCGCTGTATTTAAATCAGGAAGGACAACCTTTTGCAAATGTAAAGTGTCAACATCTCATTCTTATGTCAAATGAAATTACTTTTAAAGTTATATGAAACTAGGCACAAAAAAGTTCGAAAAAACTTGCAAAAAAATGCAGATAAGAAACGTGACTATACTAGGAAATGAAATTAAATTTAAAATGTGCTAACCTTTTAGTGTACTGAGATGGTTGGTAAGGAACGTGTTTTCGTCTGCGTTATCAATATGAACTAAATCAGCTTGTAGCTTTTGGCAATTTGCCTGCAAATACAGTTAAATTGATTTTTAAAAAAGGCTTTAAATTACAAAATAATGGTCTAAGTAGTAGGAAATACATATCTGATCATAGATCATAGTAAGTGTGTTATGAGAGTTAATCTAAGATCATAAATCTAAGCATTAGGTTGCTTCCAGTCTTATCCTTTTCTTGTTTTGATTGTAAATATCATGTATGTAAATATGCTTATACGACGAATAAAATATGTTTAAACCAAATCTAAAAAATTACGTCAAAACGTAACTTAAAAATGTGTTCATTTTGATGGAACTTACGCGTGCTCTATCAAATGACATTTCATCCTCAGATATAAAGTGTATTGTAACCGGTTATCTGAATAAACTCAAATACAATAAGTCAACACAGTGTATATTCAAATGTCATTCAGTTTAATTATTGTTTACTAGAATATGCATTTACAGTAAGTTCAACATTTATTTTATAATCAAAGTTTCCAAGTTAAACAATTCAAAGAGTAAGTTATAACTGCGTACCAAAATTAAGTGAGTGCCTACTAAAAATTAAAACCGACACTGAAAAACTAGTCTGATCCTTGAGTATTTAAAGGGATAATCAACCTACGCTATGTATAATAAAAGTGAATTATTAAACCAACTTTTCCCCGCTTGTGACAGGTAACAATTAAACATATATATATATTCGCTTATACTTGACAGGACGCATTAATTAAGAACTTCTAATATTGTATTGTTCTACTTAATTACCACTAATAAAATGTTTATCCCCATTCTTGTAATTAGAGGATCTTTATCAGGCGGAAAGTACTATTGTTGTTGAACATCTGTTTATTAAGACCGGACAAGCTGTCTAATATAATTGACCCACGGGTTTTTAATTGAGGAAATGCTTGAAATGCGTACTATATGACAATACCCCCTTCGCCATTATAAAACGAATTTTTTAA